TTTGGGGGGCAGGTTTATTTTTCTTCTCAAGCAGCCCCCTGGGAGAGCTGTGGCTGAACTGACTGGCTGAGCAGGCAGCTTGTTTCTTGAAGGCTAGCCAACTGAGCTCCAGGTCAACTGACTGCTGGCCTGGGCAGGCTTGCTAACAGGGGAGGCAGCAAAAGAGCCTGAGTCAGTTTCACAGTCTACCTGACTCATGTGGGACAGCTCCCTGTGGTCTGTGGGCTGCACTGTTCTCACCTATAAAGATGGAGTGTGGTCCCACTAGGTGATGTTGATGTCTCATTCAGATCTGATTCTCGGAGCAAAGCTTACTCTGACTGTGGGGGAGAGGAGAAGAGGATAGTCACTTATGTTTGCTCTTGCCAATGCCTCCTGTTGTATGTTCTTGGTAGGACAACAAGGAGTGCAACAGTGACAGTGAGGGGGTGTGACAGGGGAGCTGAGCTCAGTGAATTACCTCCATGATTTTCTCTTTCCCTACTTCCTTCTTCCTGGAGAAAAACAAGCTGCCCCAGATGTCAGATCACTGTAGGGGTCTCAGTCAGGGCATCTGAAGACAGGTCTGAGGTACCAAGTTGTGTAACCCTGAGGAGCTGGCCAGGCAGTCATATGTCCCCAAGAGAGGATGCCCAGTCCTCTTGGAGAGGCTGCAGCTCCACTAGTGGGGCCAGGTGTGGAGAGCTGTCCTCACTCCTACCAGGTTCCTGGGACAATAAGGGCACATAGGAGAAAGCTGGCACAGGGAGGCAGGGGCCAGCTCAGGCTGTGAACATGTGGTCAGCATGACATCAGGGTCTCCAGTCCCTGGCAGAGATGCGGCAGAGAGTCACACTCATGGCTGATGAGGAGGGGAGTGGAGCTCAGATGAACCAGATCCACCAAGAGCTCCTTCCAACCCTGAGATCCTGTGAGTCTGGCTTCCCTGTGACTTAAGCCTCTCATTGCTCTCTGTCCAGTTGGGCTTCCAGGACCTGGGAAGAATGGAGAGCAGGGGAACAGCCATGGTGATCAGAAAGTTGGCAAGGAAAACCCAGGAAGGCAGATGGAAAAACAAGAGAGACACAGAGGGAAGGAGACATTTCCAGGGACACGAGCCAGGAAGGAGGCAGGAAAGGCAAGAGGTTAGGGACACCAGAAGGTTCCCTCTTACCAGTGGATGAGGATGAGATTCATCACTCTGCCATTTTTGACAGCTGTGCACAAGGGTAGTGAAATCTTTACAACTCCCTTGGATTGAACTCAGGATGCTGAGTTCAGAGGCTGTAAGGGAGGGGATCCATGGGTAGATTACACTGGCCTCTGCAGAAGGCCTGGAGGAGAGGAACCCCAGAGAAGGCACAAATGGGTGGCTGGAGACCAAAGCAGCCAGGCCCAAACCGCAGGGGCCTTGGGGAGGTGGCTTAGGCCAGACAGGATCCCTGGGGGCTATATTATCAGATGCCCTGTGTCGTTCCTCAAGGCTGTTTCCTGGAAGATACAACATGGATTAGTTGAGTGGATGAGGACTATGAAAGGGTGCTTAATAGGGAGGAAAAGGAGGACAAGCACTTGTGCAGACCTCATCATGAATGGCACACATTGGATTGTGCAGTGCACAATTTAGGCAACTGAACACAGCATCCCTGACAGACTTCAATGTACAGAAGAGAGTGTGGGGCTCTAACCTGAGTTAGAGCGCTACTAACCTACAAGCATTGGGCAAGTCAGTTCACATCTCTGAGCCTCAGTTTTCTCATCTGTAAAATGGGAGTAATTATCTGTTCCACATTAGGTGCGTGAGGCAGTCTGTGAACTCGCTCACATAGAACCCGGCATATAGTAGATACTCAACACAAATCTGTCCCCTTCCATTCTCTACGTGAAGAGACAGAAAGTGGAAACAAGAGGTGAAACTGGACACTAGCCAGAGCAGGCAGACTAGGGCCTGCAGGAAAAACAAATGGAAATCTGCACTGCTGCTCCCACACAGGAAGTGCTGGTGGGGCCACCACCTGGACTGTGTCTGAGGCCCTGTGCAGAGCTCCACGGTGACCTGGAGATGCCACAGTGTGATCTGTGCACTTGGACTCACAGCCCAGAGGTGGAGGCAGGGGTCCTCGATGTGAATCCCAGCTCCACGGCCAACGAACCATGTGACCGAGCTTCCTTTCCTCATCTGTGGAATGGGAATTATGGTCGTGCCCATTTTATAGAATTTTCTGAGAATTAAAGGAAAGAATTTAATAGCAGGATTAACACAGTGTCTGAACACATTAAATGGTCAATGAATGTCAATGTTAACAGTATTAATTTTGTTTTGTTCTGGATGCAAGCAATTGTAACACCAAGCACAATGTGGATAAGGTCCCAGCAGTGCTGAGAAGCCCAGAGGAGGTAGAGATTTCAGTCACGGAGGAATGGAGAGGTTTCCAGAGAAGGGCATGCAAGCTGGATGTTGAGCAATGGGTGGATTTTCAGCAGGCATCCTGGCTAGAGGGTGTGTGAGGAGCAAGGAATGGTCTAAGCAAAGGCACAGAGGTGATGCCACACTCCAGGAGGCCATCTTAGCTCTAAGCATTCACACTCACAAGGCTACCATGGGCACTGTTATCATCAGTCCACTCCAAGGATCCAGGCTGCTTGCCAGCAAGGCCGGGTCAGGCGTTCTTCACCACATCCACACAGACACAGGCGATCCACAGAAGTGGGTGTGGGCCCATCCTGTCTGAGAATCTCCATTCCCCACAAAATTCCAGTGCCCACTAACAATCCCAGGGTTCCTGCAGGGGCCACGCACATTACAGGAGTCACCAAACTCAGGGAAGTCCAAAGCACGGTGTCCCCCTTATAGTTCATTCATGGTTCTTCCCAGTTCTGAAGTTATTTACCAGCCCGTGTTCATTTTTGCCATAGCCAAGTTGCTGAGTGTCAACTTAAAAAGCGAAATTGCTTATTTTATTGTCAAAATGAGTTTATTCAGGAATAACCAAAAGAATTGAGATTTGGGATGTGCATGCTATGGCACCACAGGCAAATTGAGAAAGCAAAGGAGGGAGCTGCTTTTATAGAGAAAAAGGGGGAGTAGGGAGTGGCTGTTCTAATGGAAAGTCCATTGAGGGGAAGTAACAGTTCAGGGCGGCAACAGCTTCTCATTGTCTGGGCTGCAGCATTTCTCACTGGCTGGGCTGTTGCCAGGTGGGGAGAGAAATCTTCCTTCAGTAGTAAAGTAGTTTTAGTTCCTGTCCGAGACGCAAGCATCCCTCTCTTCCTAGTTGGCGTAAGTGACATATGGGGTATGTGTGAGTGTTTCCCCTCCAGGCCCTCCTGAAGCCAACGTAGTTAAGGTTTCTTTGATTAATTTCCACACTAGCAAAATCGTTAACATTCTCCAGTTATCAGGTTTCTTGGGAGACGGAGTTGGAGAGTGTAACCCAAGGTCAGCTTCCCAGGGGACGGGGACACGGTTTGGTTAGTCCTTACCCACAGGTGGAAGGATCTCAGGGCGTGTTCGGAGCACGTTCTCTAGTACAGTTTGGGGGCGATCGGGAGTAGGATGTGGCGGGAGAGGCAGGGAGGGGGCTTGGAGGAAGGTGTTGGGAAGGGGAGGCTTGCAGGGAGGGAAGTTGAGGCTTAGTCTGTGCGGGATCCAGCGCTAGGTGCCTCCAGGCGTTATGTCACTCAGGGGCCTGGAATGCCACATGACGGTTATGGACTAGTTTGAAAAGAGGGACAGATATGTTAAACGAAAAGCAGAAGGTTTCAGAAAAGTATTTATCACAAACTCTATCTACACAAAACTCCTCTGGGTGAGTAGTTGAGCTATAAAACCCCCACAGAGCACACACCTCCCTCTGGATGGTCCCTCCAATCTCATCTCAGGCCGCTGTCCCACCAAGTGGCAGCTCCTGGAAGACCCCACACTCTTTCCCACCCCAGAGCCTCTGTGCCTGCTGTTCCCTAACCGCAAAGCTTCTTCCCTTACTCTTCACCTGGCCAGCTCCTTGTCATCCTTTGGGTTCCACCTGAAATGTCATCTCCAACAGGAGCTGTCCTGGACCACTCCATCTAAGCAGCTCTCCCTGTTGGTCTGTCTCATAGCGCAGCATTTATTTCCTTCTTCACAGTCACTACTGTCTGTAATCATTTTCCCTAATTGTTTCCTTACTTATTATCAGTCTTCCCCAAGAATGAAAGGGCAGGACCTTGTCTGCTTCATTCCCCTGAGACGTCTAGACAGTGTCCTAGATATACCAGGTCCTCAATAAAAATGTGTCAAATGACTTAACAGAGGTGGAATCGAGGTGTTTCTGTATTGCACAAGCTGGTATAATCTTTCTAATGAAAAAGCTTTAGTGCTGAGGAGAAAGCTCTTTCTGGCTGCAGTGTGGACAGAGGGTTGGTGGCAGGCAGGAGATGGGAGCAGCTTGGCCAGTTTGGGGTTGTTGAGCCAAGCTAAGTGCAATAAGAGGGTGGCTTGGGCTTAAAGCTGTGGCTGTGGGGCTGGAGAGGGGCCTGAGCCCAGAGATGGATAGATCCCAGAGATGGACGGGGGGACTGGCTGGGAAGGTATCCAGGCGGAGGGAGAAATGCTCCCAGGGCCTGCTGGGAAGCCTCCTCTCTTCCCAGCCCAGGGTGTTGTGGCCTGGCTGGTGATGTTGGGTTCCTGAATGGCTTGGAACTCTGTTGCCATTTCAGATCCAGCAGATGGGGAGCCTGGACAAGGTGGTGTCCTGGGCCCACCAGTTCCCCTACGCCCACCCACTCTGGTATGGGCAGTTCGTTGGCTTCCTGAACATCTATGAGCCTGACTATGCCAAAGCTGTGTATGGCCAAGGGAGTCAGTGCTCCTGAGAGAGGGTGGGGCTTCCTGAGAACAAAGGTCTTAGGGCACCATGTGGGGAGGAACCCAGGCCTGCCCCCTGAGTCTGGGCAGCTGAGGTCCCCATCCTATTTATCACCAAGCCTCCTCTGGGATCCCCCAGTCCCCAGCTGGCCTGAATCTTCTCTTTTTCCTGCAGATCCTAAGGCACCGGATGTTTATGACTTCCTCCTTCAGTGGATTGGTGAGTGGGCAACTGCCCTCCCAGCCCAGACCTTTGGAGCTGGGTGACCAGGATCCTTCCCTGCTTTGTCCCTCCCTGCCCTGTCTACTTAGTCAGTTACCCATTAACCAGACTACCAGGCTCCTAAGGGCCCCTCCTAAGCTCAGCTGCTCCGTGGGAGACAGGGAAGGAGGCAGGAGATCTCCTGGCTGGTGGGGAAATGGGGCTCAGGTACCTTCTCCTTTCAGGTGAGTCCTTCTCTCAGGCAGAGCCAGGGCTCTGAAAATGTGTGAGCGTGCAGAACAGCTTCCTGGAGGAGGTGGCACTAGGTTGGTCCTAGGAGATTTTATGGGTTTTGGTGACCAGGGCCGGGCATGAGGAAAGGAGGGGTGGTAGGACCAATGCAGGTGTCACAGAGGCTGTGAGGCTGTCTGGGTGGCTGGAAGGCAGAGCTGGGTGGGGATATGAGGTTGGGCAGGCAGGACATGGGTGGGGTGAGGTGGGGTGGGGTATGCTTGTTCCTAGGTTGCCATGGGTGGGGCAGGATTGTGTGGACTGACGGGCACTCCCCCTCCCATCCTTTCCCCAGGGAAAGGCCTGCTGGTCCTTCATGGGCCCAAGTGGTTCCAGCACCGCAAGCTGCTCACGCCTGGCTTCCATTATGATGTACTGAAGTCCTACGTCGCCATGTTCGCTGACTCCATGCATGCAATGCTGGTGAGCACCCTGCCAGGCTCCTGGTGGCTGTGGCTGCTGGCCAGACCCTCCCCACCCGGTTTTCCCTGGGGGAGGGCAGCGAGGAGAATCCCTGAGGCCCTGAGGCCCCATTCTGCCTGCCATAGCAGTGCTGAGCCTTCTCCACCTGCCGCCTGCTGAGTGCAGGTGCTGACCAGGTGCTGAAGGTCCCAGTGGCCAGGCAGCCCTGGCCCTCGTCTCCACCAGGAGACCCAGCCCTCCCTCCCGGACCAAAGGGCCTCCGTGGGGCCCCAAGAAGGCTCCTACTGTAGCAGATTTGAGGGCTGCCTGTATGTGAGGATATTAGGAAGGTCTTTCACACCTAAAATGTGTCTCCTCCTCATTCTCTGTCCCCCTCGACTGCCTAAAACAATGCCATTAGTGCCTCATCTCTAAAAGGGATGCTGGGGTCAGGCGGCAGGCTCAGGGTCTCAGGGCTGATAATCCCCAGAGGTTACCAGGGCTAGGATCTTCCCTTTGCAGGAACTCCTCCCCAGCATGACTGCAGGCCTGACTTACTCACAGACTGTGCTGGGGAGCTCACCAGCCCTCGGGCCTCCTTTTCCCGTCTATGCAGGCTGCCCTCACTGGGAGGAAGTGTCCTTGTGCATGTGCAAAGCCTGCCTTCTGGTCCCACCCTCTGATTTGCAGCCCCTGCCCACCCCCACCCTGACATTCTGGCAGGATGGAGGCCAGGCCAGGGACTGGGGGTGCACGTGAAGAGGACCGGCTGTGGGTTCTGGAGGGCAGGGGTGGGTCACTCAGTCCAGCTGGCCCCTCACATTACCTTCCATCTCTGTGCCCCAGGACAAGTGGGAGGAGAAGGCTCGTGAGGATAAGAGCTTTGACATCTTCTGTGATGTGGGCCACCTGGCGCTGGACACCTTCATGCACACTTTGCACCTTTGGCAAAGCAGACACTGGCCTGGGTCACAGGTCAGGGGGCACTTGGGGCTGACCACACTCTCCACCCAGACCAGCTCCGAGGGGAGACTTGGCAGGACTCCTGGGCCATGGTCTGAGAGAACATAGGGTCATGCCCTAGGGATCTCCAGGTCAGGAGGAGCTGGGCCTTGCCCCTGATGTGGAGATGGAGTCTGGCTTTAGTGGGGAGACTTAAGGACAGGGAGAGGAAGGCAGAAAGCACTGCAGTTGGGGAGGATTCTGGAATGGAGCTGCTTGGCTTCTGCTGGAGGTCAGCGTCTGAGAGACCCTCCCTTTCTCGGCTGTGCAGGGACAGTAGTTATTACCAGGCGGTCAGCGAGCTCACTCTGCTGACACAGCAGCGCATCGAGTCCTTCCAGTACCACAACGACTTCATCTACTCACTCATCCATCATGGCCGCCACTTCCTGCAGGCCTTCCAGGTGGCCCACGACCACACAGGTGGGCCTTTGCCACAGGGCCCACCCACGGAAAACCCAGCTTCTAGTCCAGCTCCTCTCAGCCCCTCCAGGGTCTGTCCCTTTGCAAGAGCTTGGTTCCCCTTAGAGCTGAGGTTGGGTCCCCAGCCAGTAACACCCTGTGCTCTGGCCCAGACCAGGTCATCAGGGAACGGAAGGCAGCCCTGCAGGATGAGAAAGAGCAGGAGAAGATCCGGAACCGGCACCTGGGCTTTCTGGACATTCGCCTGACGGCTCGGGTGATTGCGCGCCCAGCTGAGAACTGGTCCCAGAGGGCCTGCGCACCATCCTCTGGGATGGGGTTCACTGGATAGCAGCAGGGGCGCTTAACCATGGTTTCCCTGTTTCTCCTGCAAACATGACCTGTTCCTTGTCCTGTGACACATAGCAGCAAAGTCTCAGAGGTGGGATGATTCGGGTGCGGCTTGCCATAGCACCAGGGAGAGATGTCCTAACTGGGACGTTTGGTCACATGCTAGAAGGCCTGAAGACCAACACTAGACTTCTAAGACTGCAAAGAATCTTAGCACCCTAGAATCTTAGAACCTTAGACTTTCTTCATTCTTGCATTCATTCAGTTGATCTTTTATTTATTCACTCCATAAACTCACTGAGCCCTACCCCAGGTTAGTTCCTGTGCTAGGGATGCAGAAGATGACAAATACCTGGCCTTGCACCCTAGACCCTTATAGGCTGGAGGAGGAGACAAGAGGTGGACGTTGACAGAGATCCCTTCCTCCACCAGGTGGCATTCTGTGTGTCAAGTGAGCAGAACTGACAGTAAGGGCTTGGTAAAGTTACAGGTTAATTGGCCTGAGGGATCAGGGAAGGCTTCCTGGAGTAGGAGACCAGGAGACTGGGAGAGAGGTCCTGACTACAGGCACTGGCTGGGCGCAATCCCCTTCAGGGAGGCAGATTGTGGCATCATAGCACAGGCAGAGGGCTGTAGGATGTCTGTCTATAATATCAAGGACCCTGGGCTGGGAAAGGCAGGAGGTGGGAGGGGGAGGGAACTATGTGAAGAACCACCAGGAGAGCAGGGCTGGGTTGAGAGAGGCTGGTGGAGGAGTGCAAAGGGGCCTGGTACAGGGTCAGGACCCAGGGACAGGAGGACCAGTCCCCACGAAGTCCCCAACTGTGACGGGCTTGAAGAAGACCCTCCTCCCTCAGAGTAGCCGACCAGAGATGCAGGGGACTGCCAAGAGGTTGTCCTGTGGGGGAGGTGTCACTGTTTACTGCTTGGGATGTGACGTCCTCTCCCACCAGCCCAGCCATCTGCCCAACTGGGCTTCTCCCAGTCCCTCCTGGACAGAAGCCCACACCTTGCCCTCTGAGGCAATGCGATATGACTGGCTTTGCTGGGGTCCTGGCACCACAGAGCAGATAAAATCTCCCTTCCTTGTCTCCTCTGTCTTCCCTCCCCTTCTCTCGCTTGTCTTCCATCCGTCTCCTTCAAAGGGAAGACAAAACTCCATGCAACATTGTGAAATTTATTACAGAATGTGGGAAAGAAAGAGAAGGTGTGTGAATGACAAAAGGGTAGACATCTAACAGACAGAAGAGATCAGTTATTGGGAGGACAGAGAGATGGTAGTTACACAGTGACTCTGCAGGCTGAATACTGGCTCCCTGTGGTGTCCACGTCCTAATCCCTGGACCTGTGACTACGTCCTGTCTTATTTGAGTGGGCTCATGTGACCACAAAGGTCCTCATAAACAAGAAGGCCCGGTGAAGACAGAACGGAGAGACACTTGAAGATGTTGCTGCATCTGAATATGGAGAAGGCTTCAGGAGCCAAGGAATGCAGCTCTAGATGCTGGGAAGGCAAAGATTTTCTCTCCTAGATCCTTGGAGGTTGGGTGGCCCTGCCAACACCTTGTTTGCGTTCCAGCAAAGATATTTCAGACTTCTGACTCCAGAACCATAAGAGAATAAACTTGCAGTAAATTATTATAGCAGCAAAGGAAACTAACATGGGGATAGACAGGCAGACAGGCTAGAGGACAGGAAGGTGAGGAGTTGGGTGACAGTCAGAGCTGCAGGTGAGTCAGAGACACACACACAAACAGGTAGGAAGCCTGGAGAGAATGAGAGAGAGAAGGGCAACAGTCTGATGGGCAGGAGGCAGGAGATCAGGTAGGCTGACAGGTGGGCAGATAGAAAGTAGGCAGTGGGCAGACAGGCAGGGGCAGGAGAGAGCGACAGGAAGACAGGATGGTTGCAGGGGTGACTCAGAGCCCATCATTGTCCCCACAAGGGTTAGAGCAGCTTCCTGAGATGCAGGTGGATCCCACTCTTGGACATCAACACAATTCTTGGAATGGGAACAGGGACTCTGGAGGGATCTGGTGACAGCTCAAAGCGGAGCAGAGTCAGGGCCACGGCCACCTTCAACTCCTTCATGGCAAACTGCTTCCCGATGCAGTTCCTGGGCCAGGGAGGGAAATCAAAATGAGAAGTGGCTTCCAACTTTGTTCTGAACTGGGCAGGAATTGACTACTAAGCCCCAGCCAGGAACAGGGCATTCAGGGCCCTCCTGCATGTGGCCCAGCCCCCATCCCATCCCTCCAGGTCACACACCTCTACCCCAAGCTTTGGTTTGCATTCTCCACTTGGCCTCTGTCAAAGCCTACCTCTCCCCCAGGACTAGCTCCTAGGCGCTACCTCTGCTCTCAGCAGGCCTGAAATCCCGGTAGGTGAGGGTCAGCGCTCTAGTCACCAGTCAAGTCAAGCGAATCACCAAAAATATTATTATTAGTTTGTTCACTCCCTCCACAAGCAGTTTCTGGTTTCACAACTTGGAGAACGGGTCAGGGGAAGGTAGGCAACAGGCTGGGCCAGACTCTCTGATCCTCTACATCTATGGGGACACACAGAGACCCTGATCCTCAGAAAGAGGACAAGATGGAGTTGTATAAGGAAGGCCAAGTGGCAACAGGGAAGCTTCCTGGAGGGTCCAGAGGTTAGTGACCCTCAGCCTGTTATACTATATGCCTCCAAATCAGTGGTCTAGACCCCTGCCTCCTCCTCATCCCCTCAGTCAACCAGCTTCTGTAGCCTTCCAATATAGTCCAGGAATGTCCCTCCTTGTCATCCTTCAGTCTCATCATCTGGACTTTCTGTCTGCCTGCCTCCCCTCCCTCTACACCAAGCAACACCCCAGCTCAGACCCTCCTGTGCCTCCATCATAGGAAGGACTTGTCCAGATTCCTCAGCTGGCACCAAAGCCCTCTATGGGTTGTTGCCTCACTCACCTCTTACCTGTCCAGCTCCACTTCCTAGCTCAGCTCTTGTTGAGATCGCTGAGAATGCCTCCCTCCACCTCTGCCTGCCACATGCTCAAGGCTAAGTCCAATGACAGCCGCCCTCACCCCTCTGCTGGCTCTACCTTTTCTTCCTCAGCCCCCAAGTCACCATGAATATTTTACTCAAGGACACATCACTGTCCTGTGCCCAGGACAGTGCCAGGAACATGGAGCATCCAGCAATCTGCTCTATGAGTGAATGAGTGACTGAAAGAATGAATGAATGAATGATGTGTGTCTTGAGTAGAGGTATTTGTTTCTTGACTATGAAGTCTTGGAGGCAGGGACAGTATCTTTCATCTCTGTGTTCCCATCTGCCAGCACAGGACTTGGCACACAGAGTTGGGCTTAGTACATAGTTTTATAACTGAATGAAGTTAATTGAATTGACCAAGAAAAAAGACTGAAAGGGAATGTAGACATTAAGTCTGACCTAGGAAATGAGCTTTCTAATACTTTCCCATCCTCTAGTGGCAGCCACAGCCTGCAGCCCAAGTCTATGAGGAAGGACCAAGTTCTAGGTGAAAGCAATTCCTACAGCCCATTTCTGGAAGAACAGCTTGCTTAAAGCCTGTTCTGTGAAAGTTGCTTCACCATTTGAAGAATTCATAGAATTATGGATTCAGAAAAAACTTGTTTCTAGTAACAACTTACAATTTTTTCAGAAGTTCCTGTTTCACAGGACGATTTCAGCAGCCCTGGAGGATTTTCACAGCAGCCGCTCTGGAGTGGACTTGTCCAGCTCAACAGCTGTCTCGAGTGTGCTTTAGATTTTACACACCAGGAAGCTTTCAAAGCCATGTGTTATACACGGAATAGTGGATCTTCTCTCAAAAGCAGTTGATTGTCCTCATTGTTGTGCTTTATGCCAACATAGGACCAAGGAGTCTCTGGGACTATAGTATATAGATCCAGTGTCATAAAGAAGTTTTTCCAACTGGAAAAGTTGTCATGGTTATGTAAATATTAATATGCAGTCAAATTTTATTGGGATAGACTGCAAAAATAGAGATGACACACACTGGTGTGAAATTTTCTTCCAATGGCTACTGTAACCTTCCGTATATGTGGCTGAACACTTAGGACAAGGAAGGGGCTGGTAAACTCAGCACACACAAACATCACTGAGACAGCGAGTGGAGGATCAGAGAATTACGGAGAAAAGGCCCTGAGCCAGACAGCAAACTTGGGAAGAGAGACACCACCTGTTAAGATTACTGATAATGGAGAAATGCAGACATCTGAATTTTAATTTTCATGAAAATTCTAATTCTGAAAATTCATACTCCTAAAGTGTAGAAAACACCAGAATACATCGAACTTTGGAACAGCCACAGTCACTGATTGTGGCAGCCATTGGGAAAGTCAATGGGTCAAAGTCCCTGTGGGGTGCCCAGAAATGCCACCTTTCTTGTGTGCATAGAGACACACCCCTCCTTCCCAATGCACTGACACACAAGGACATAACTATAGACACAATATGAATATAGGAGGTCACAAACATCGGGTGTGCAGGCAGTGACACTCCTCTCCCAAGTACAGGATACCTCACCTTGATCCTCCTGAGAAGGGCAGGAAAGCATGGCTGTGTTGAGTAGAACCCGGTGCAAACCGGGAAGGATCAAACACCTGCAGAGAGAGCAACAGGACCAAGGCAGGTGGGGTCAGGTCCCTCCTTCCAATCCACGAGGGGATAAGATTGCCAAAGTTGGGAGTGGGAAGAGGTGTTGGTCTGGAGAGATCATCCCATCCCTTCCTCCCATGCCCATCATACCTCTGGGTTCGGCCACACCTCCGGGTTGTGGTGAAGGGCATAAAAGGAGAGCGCAATCATGATTCCTATGGGGCAGAAGGAGAAGAGAGCAGAGTGATCATACACATGGGGTGGGTCCCTGTCCCTGTGGCAGGAGGGGGCATGTGCATGCAGGAAAGACATGAAAGCCACTTCCCATCACTCTGAGTGGAATGAGCCTGCTGCAAGAGAGGTGGGGTGGACACGGCAAAGCTCATGTGCACAGATTAGGAGGAGATAACCAGGACCCAGGATTGAGAAGCAAGAAAGAATTGGAGGCTAACTTTTTGGAGCAACTCAAGTGAAAACTCACATTTGTCAGGTGCCATCCATGAGCTCTTGGGGGATATGCATTAACCCATTCAATACTCACATCCACCCTCCAGGAAAGGCTCTCATAACCCCATTGTTCAGATGAGGCACCTGAGCCTCATAGAGACTGAGTGACTTCCCTATGATCACACAGAAGGATGTAGCAGGGCTGGGGTTCAAACCCAATGGAAGGTGAGGTAAGGGATGGCCTGAAACCATGGCAGAAGTTTCAGATGTGGTCATCAGCTACTCTCTGCCATCAACCTGAGGGGTCTTGTGACTGGACCATCTGATCCGTGGCAGTGGATTCCCTGATCTCCCTCATTTTCCTAGATCCCAAAAGGAAAGAACCACACCTCCCACTACCCCTGTCTCATTGTTTCTCCAGACCTCACATCTCAGGGAATTTGAATTTTAGGGATAATTTCTGAACCAACATTCAGAGGGTAGTATTTCTATACTGAGATTTTGTTGGTCTCAAGGTCTGTGCTAAGCATTTCATACATCTCATCTGAACTACAAAGTAAGTATTGATTTTCTAGAGAGGAAAACAAAACAGAGAAAGTGCAGAGCAGCTCTAGGACATGTGGTTTCTGATCTTCCTTGTTTACAAACTTGCAGAGTGCTGAGGTTAGTGAGTGTGATGGACTGCATACCTTTGGGTAAGGAGCGTCCATCAGGGAAGGTGATGGGCTTGGTGAGCTCTCTGCCAACACCTGGTACTGGTGGATAGAGTCGCAGTGCCTCCTTGATGCACATGGTGGTGTAGGGCATCTGGTCCAGGTGGTCCCTGAAACCGAAGCCCATCCTGAAGGGCGGGCAGGGTCTGGGAAGACCAGGGCCTTCTCTAGCTGAGTGGGCAGGGCTCTCCCGTCTCTTGAGCACTCACCAGCTGATGGAGGCACCATCTCCCAGGAGGCCCTGGATCTCCTCCCGGCACCTCTGCTGATGCTCGGGGTGCATGGCCAGAGCGTAGAGGATCCAGGAGATGCCACTGGCTGTGGTGTCGTGGCCCTCAAACATGAATGTATCCACCTCGGCACGGAGGTCCTCATCAGACAAACTGCTCCCATTCTCCATCTGGAGAAGGCACCGTGAGAGTGCCGGGTTTGCCCCATCTTCTGCACTCCTGGGTAAAGCCTCAGCCCTCTCCTACACACACTCACTTTGGAAAAGAGGAGGATGTCCAGGAAATCCAAGTGCCTCTTCTTCCTGACCTTCTCCAGCTCTCCCTCCTTCTGCAGGTGAGCCTTCCTCAAGTTTATCACTCGTTCTGTGGCAGAACAGTGGTTCTAAGGAAGAGCTGAGAGCTCTGGGTTCCCAGATACGGCAACCCAAAGCAGCCCCATCAGCCCCCTGCCCCAATCTGGGTGCCAGGTGGATCAGGATGAATGTTGGAGTGTGTGTGCACGTAAGGGATGAGAGCTCTTGCACCATCTGATTGCAGGTCAAAAATCCCCATAATAGCACAGCTCATGGAAACTTGGCTTGAATGCTGCTGAGCAAGGGGTTCACTTAGTCATCTCCCATGTGGTGCACAGCACCTGGAACCCTAACATCACCAGGTTGGTGCCCAAAGCCTGCATCAGGGAAGTACACAGCATGAGTGTGTCCCAGATCTTGGAGGGGATCCAGGGGGCCTGGATCTACTTGAGGAGTCAGACCAGTCCCTTTGAAATGTGCCTGATGAAGGAGGGGAGTAGCCCAGGGAGCAGGAGCCAAAACCTGTGTGTTGATGGGCAAGCTGGGATGCCCGGTGGTTCCAGCGGCCATCAGAGGTCAGTCTGTAGATGGTGTCATTGTGGTAGAAGATATTTCTTATGCGGAAAAAAAACAGATTCTTCAGGTCCTCAACAGCCTGCATGTAGGATTGGGAGTTCCTAAAGGGAGAAGACGCAGAAGAGACTGGAGTAGAGGGAGGCCTCTGACCTGAAGGTGGAGCGGGGCTCTGGGTGGAAGTTTCCTTAATCAGTGGGGACAGGACACTGAGGCATTGGTCATTGTCATCTCACAGCCCTTGAGACCCTCAGTCCCTCATTATAAGTGGTGGGGTCAGCCAGGCTTCTACCTGTGCCAGGGGTCAGCGATCCACGGTTGGGTCAAGGTTTGATCTGGCTGGAATTTGAACTTGTCTTGAACTGTGGGCAGAATCTTGCTTAGTGTAGAGGTGAACATCTAAGTTGTCCCACTTGCTACTCAGGTAAGTCCACACCAGTAGGTAAGAAAGAAGACCCTCCAGCTGAAGGGCAATCACTGACCTGTCTGTCTGCACGCTGCCCTGGTGGCTGAAGGCACACTTCATGATGGTGTCCAGGGTCATCAAGGAGACATGTCCAAAGATCTCCAGATGTGAGTCCTGGCTGATGAGCTTCTCCCATTTGTCCTGCGGTGGGAGGGAGACATTCACTCTACTCTCTCCCCTAGGAGACTCATGATGACAAGGCCACGCTCTCTCTCTCCAGATATCCTGTTTAGAATACCTCACTTTCCAGAACAGATGCATTAGAGCAAATTAAGAATGTAAGGCAAATGTTTGTAACATGAGGCCTATTTTCTCATAAACTTTTATTATATAACTAAACATTTCTGTTATAATAGTCTGAGTTAGTTTTGAATTTTAAGAACAAGTTACCATGATAACCACTTTGGGCAGAGCAGAAAACCTTCTCTTTACGGAGACAAAGGGGAAAACTTTTCTGTCACGGGGCTCAGTTAGACCTGATGGACAGGAGAAGTCCAACTTTATGGAGCAAACATGTCAAGACAAGAAAAATCCTAAGGGGAGATTACTGGGGCTCCCATGGAAGGGGCATCAAGGACTTCAATTCCTTTCATTCGTCAAATGTTAACTGAGAAGACTTGGTGATAAATCAGAGTCCTGATGGGAGGTGAGGTCATGGTAGGTCCTTGCTCTGAGAGTATAATCCTGGACTCCATTTCCCTCCATGGAGCAGCTCAAAACCATGTAGAAGCCCTGGGCCCCAGGTCAGGGCCCACCTGAGTGACATCCTGGCTTGTCCATCCCACCACTGAAGCTGCCACTGCTCAGGTTAACCATGGTCAGCTTGTCCTGTTGTCCACGAGAATGACCTTTGCTCTAGTCCACCAGGATGAATTCATGGAGGTGAGAGGAGAGCAGACCTTGTATCCACCATGCCCTGCCTTTACCTTAGTGATGAGCAAAGTGTGGTTTTAAGCTGGTACCTGGATACCGTCCTGTCCAATTCACTTTGGGAGCCCTGTCTCATAATGTTATTCTGGATGCCTATGTCTGATGGATGTCTGGGGGACACATGTGTCTGGACTTGCCTCTGTGAGTTTTGCTGTGTGTGAGCATGTGCCGCTGAGAGACGAATGGCCTTACCAGCATCACTCGGACAGAGTCAGCCATGAGCCCTACATAGGGCTTCAGGATGTCGTAGTGGAAGGCTGGAGTCAGCATCCGCCGGTGCTGGAACCATGTCTGCCCATTCAAGAGGAGCAAACCATACCCTGGGCCAGAGATGGATATGTGGGGGGTGGGAAATGGGATCAGAACAACAAATGGAGACAATTTGGGAGGAACCAAGGGTGTCAGAAGAAGGCTCATCATGGACAAAGGCAGGAAAGTCCAGTACATTTCAGGACTGAGAGTTTCCCATAATGGCTGGTACATAGGAAGTGATTATGACAGCTGTGAGATAAAGCTTGAAAAAGAGTAGGGGCAGGTCATAGATGCACTTCAATACAAGTCAGGCTGAGATCCTTGGCAAGGGCTGAGAAGTAATGTGGAAGAAGCTGAGCTTCTGCAGGCCTTTCACCACCATTAGGAAGGGGGAGGGTCTTGTTGCAAGAAGAGAAATGAGGCTTGATCCAGAGACAAGTGTGGTGACTTGGTAGCCAGTCACCTGCTGTTTTCTTTGAGTCCAAGAGATAGCTCTTGGCAAACAGAGCTGGTGGGTGGACCGCAGTCCTAGTTTGACATACTTACCAATCCAAGGAGCCAGGAATCTGTAGGTACCAAGAGGTTTGGGGTCTGAAAGGTAAGGAAGGACATTACAACAAGGTGCAGGGGACCAAACAATACCAGCAGCTCTCAGGAGCCAGCTTTAGTCCAGATCATGGGCTGTGATCGCTTCCTGATGATTATCAACTGCCAGTTTATCTTAACCACTGCCCATCTGCCTCCGCTCCCTGACTCTCTGTCCTGATAGTCACTGTGGACTCAGGAAGGCAGACTCAGTGTCCCAGCAGCAAGGCACCCACAGGACTAGGATGTTGAATCTGCAAGAAACACTAGCTCTGTCCTCAGTGCCAAAGAAAACACAGAAGGCTGATTTTTCTGCAATTGATGGTGTCTTAGCCATCCCATGAGCCAGGACAGGCAACAGTTAGAGATGCCAAACCCAAGTCAGGGTGCAAAGGAAATTGTCTTTCATTCTGGGGCAATTTACATAACAGATCATCTCCATTTGGTTAAAAAGGAAAGAAAGAAAGAAAGAAGAAATAAGAAATTCAGCCCCACACAGCTCCCTAAGCCTTCAGTTTATGTAAACAGTGTTGGTCTTAGGCTGGCTTCTGGCTGGAGGGTAGTTGGAAGAGGGTCAGGTATTGATGGCTGAACTGCCAGTCTCTTCTGGAATTTCACAGACCCAGGAGCATGGACACAAGAGGGAAGAGCTGCCCCAGGGTGTGGGTTTTGCTCTCACCTGATCTCCCCAGGATCACCTTCATGTAGTCAGGGTCATAGACCGTGAAGAGAACCTTGCTTCCCCATAACCAGTGAGGACAGGCACATGGGAATTTCTCTACCCTTTTCAGAAGCTCTGGTAGGTCCTGGTCCTCTTGTAACTGTCACAAAGGAAAATATGAATCAATAAAACCTTTCTCTTTAGCTCCAACACTTGGAGTGTTGGTGAAGGGCAGAATGGCCACACAGAGATATTTTTAGACGTATCAGCAGTGATTAGGAGTTTGGAGCCATTTCTGAAGAGCTGGGATCTGATCTGGTGTCTTGTTCTCTCACCAAGACTTGGCCTCAGTAGTGGACTCCATGGTGTACAAAATTTTGCACAGACTTATATTAGAGCTATTGGTTGAATTGCGTCCCCGTCAAATTCGTAAGTTGAAGTCCTAACCCCCAGTATCTCAGAATATGATTTTATTTGGAGATAGGGTTTTTATAGGGTAATCTAGTTAAAGTGAGGCCATTAGGGTAGGCCTTTATCCAATAAGATTTGTGTCTTTATAAAAAGGGAGAAACTGGGACACAGAGACAGACAATCATTGAGAGAAGATGATGTGAAGAGATGTAGGGAAGATACTGATTTACTAGCTAAGGAGAGAGCCTGTAACAGATGCCTCCCTCAAAGGCTGCAGAAGGAAACAACCCTACCAATACCTTGATTTTGGACCTCTACTCTCCAGAACTGTGAGATACTACATTTCTATTGTTTCAGCCACCCAGTTTGTGGTACTTTGTAATGGCAGCCCTAGGAACCTAGAACAATTATGGACTGCTCAAGGCAAACCTGTGTGAGGGATGGATGATTATGTGACCCTGTGTCACTAAAGAATGAGGAAACCCAGGTTGAAGGATATGCCCAGGTGAGCTGCGTTTCAGTCCAACCCTGCTGACCTCAAGGTATCCTTCCCCCAGGTTCCCAAGGCTCCCTGGGTGTCTCCAGTATCATATTTCAACTCAATGTTCTCATTGCTGTGCACTGTGTTGTCAAACTTACCTTTAATACCTGTGATCTCTGTGTTCTTAGAGCAAGCATAGAGCATGGTTCATAGGAATTATGCCTTATTTTTCAAAGAAGGAATAAGTTCATGAGGGAATGAATGAGTACATGTAGGAAAGTGAATGAGTGAGTCTTCATTAAAATTCTTGTTGCAAGTAACAGAATAATCTTGAGCTAATGTAAGACAAGGAAAAGGACAACAAAGAATGCCGAGGACCCAAGGGTGCCTCATGGAGCCCAAGGGCATCTCATGGAGCCCAAGGGCAGGAGGCAGCCAGAGCGTGGAAGGGGCAGATGCAGGGACTGGAGAGCTGTCAGCACTGAGTCTGTCATTCTTCCTCTCTGTACACGCATGCATTCACTCTCCCAACAAATGTTTATGAAGGCTCTACCTTGTACCAGACGTGTTTCTAGAAGGTGGTGATAAAGCCACCAACAAACACAAAACGGTCCCTGACCTTGTGGAGCTGAGTCTCCATGGTGGAGAAGGGCATTTTTACCCTTCTGGGGTTGGGACATTACCATCTACCACATGTCATGTGTGAGCGGCTCTGGGAATCCTATTCTGAGAATCGGATTGTAATATCGTGGCCAAGGGGTCCCTCTGCTACAGTCAACTGTGTCTACATTGAATAGGGCTTTCAGGGTCCCATCCTATGTGGGGGAAAAGATCTCAGAGCAGGTGAACTGAGCAGACATCCCAAAATGTTCCCACTACAGTGAATGAGCAAATACATGAATGGGTAGATGAGCAGATGGATTAGCTCCTTCATTTATTTGACAAATGTGTATTGAATACTTTCTTTGGGTCAATCGACAGCCTTGTTGCTGGAGATTCAGCAGTGAGCAACACATATCTCTGCTACCATGGAGCTTATGTTCTCGTGTGGATGGGGGTGGGGCAGACAATCCTGCCCTTAACTGAGAAGTGTCCTGCTTGAATAACTTCAGAAGGCCCCTCTTTGGTCCAGGTCATGTACATCCCTGGGGCTGCCCTTCTTCTTTGATCCAGTGTAGAGACTGACCATTGGGAGCCTTTTACCACCCTAGCTATGTTACCTGGGCCTCTAGGATCCCCTCATGCTGGCCCAGCAGAGGCCTGGAGGACTGTAGTTCAGCACAGCAGCTTGCCTTCTTTCTGATTACTTAGTGCCCAAGCCAGTCAGCTTCATGAAAATCCTGCTTCTGGGTACTGTCACTAGTTCCCGTAGGGACCCCAAGGAGCTAAACTGTGTTCTGTGTGTCCATTCTCCTCTCTGGGCCATTCAGGTGCCTACTGATCTGTCAGCCCTCCTGTCAATGGCTGGGTCTGCCATCCGTCCCTGAGAATGTCTGGCCACAGCCAGTTGAGACTCTTGTATAGGAGATGGTGCCCATGGTGGCAGTGGTACTAATGCTGTAGGGAAACACCCAGTGCCCATGTGGGCTCCAGGCTGGGGCCACTCGGCAGGCAGTGCTCCACTATAGCTGTCCTCACCTGGCTGTTCCTGGGAACTGCAGCCACAAAGGAATTTCCCCAAAGGGAGACACAAGGAGAGTAGGTAGACAGGAAATAATGGGCCACACAGGCCATTGCCAAATGTGCGGGCTCTGCTGACGGGGAAGCTACACCTGCAATAGAAGGGAGGACACAGAGAAATATGGGGCTGTTGGGACTATGTGGATCCCAAAGTTGTGAGTCCCCTTTCATAGTTCCTGCTGGATTTCGTCCCTATTTAATGCAGTGAGTTTGTTAAGCCTACAAAATGCTTGTCCTTCACAGGCATTGATATTATTTTAAATCATAGAAATTAGAGTGAGTGTAACTGTGGCCCTTGTCTGTTCCAGGCCCAATTCTAAGATTATAATAGGTCATTTGAGTACTATTAGTATCATCATCCTCAATTTACAGATGAGGAAACTGAGGCATAAAGCGGGTATTCAAAGTACGAGGCAAAGCTGCGATGTGAATCTAGGTGGATTGACAACAGAGCCCATATGCTGAATTGCCCCAAATTGTCACTTGACATCTGACCTGAAAGATTAGTTTCAAACTAATTACATGTGGCATTCTAATTCCAGACTCAGAAATAACAGAGGTATTGAATAAATGAAAATCTCAGACAGTATTATAAGCAAAGAAAAACTTGGCTGCAATATCTGTCAGGCCAGCAGAAGGTGAGAGGTGATTCAGCACCAGGAGTGTGTTAGTTATGTAAATAGAAATGATCTACTTCCTGGGTCTACCTATCATCTAATGACCATCCGTGTCATGAGAATGTCACTGGAGGAAACTTTAGTGGCTCCTTTGTCAAATCCTAGCTCAGGAATTTGACAACTACGTCAACAAAAGGTCACAATTTCCCCAATTCAGGAAATAATCTAGAGTCATCAGTACAAATTGCCTGAACAGACTGGGCTTTGGGTGTCTCTCTGTGGCTGATATAACAGTTCCTGTCTTGGCTACTCTGCTAATAATCACCTTTCCTCCTTCTCTGAAAAGAGAGGAAGCCTCAAGTCTCTCCAACACCCTGCCTCCTATGTTCTGCACCCTCTCCCCACAGCGATCAGTGCTAACAGAGCTGGCTGGGGAGGCACGGTCTCTCACTCAACCTGCAGGCTGCTCCTTCCTCTGTCACTTCACACACCTGGGTGAGGCATCCCTATGTGTCAGGCTCTGTGCTGGGTACTGGGACACAGGAAGGGGGATGACATCCTCAGCCCCAAGGAGCTCACAGTGCAGGGGTTTGGGGATGAGAGCTGGGAGGCAAACAGACTCTGTTCAGTGGCACAACTCAAATGTCAGTGCTCCTTACCTGGGGCCATCCTGGAAACCTTCTCACTCATGTGTGCCAGCAACCTATCAGGGTTTTATGAATGAAATCACCAGTCTGGAAAATTGCTCAGTCTCATGCACATCGAGCTCATTGTCCCCCTACACTTGACATCAACCCTCAGATCAGCAAGTGAGCTCTTTTCCTGTGACATGACACCTTCTTAGATTTCTGATTATCTTCTCCACAGACTGTGAACCCCACAGGGCAGGGACACATAGAGTGATGTTTGTGTTCCCAGGCAGGCTCAGGGCCAGACAGAGGGGTTGGGGTTGAGTGACTGGGGCAAGGAGGCATCTAGAAGCCTTTTCTGTGAGAACAGCTGAGGCTGCTCAGCCTTGAGAGGGAGGAGATTCAGGAAGGAACAGTCATTGTCCTAAAGTGCAGGGCTGTCAGATCAGCCTGCAAATCTACCTAAGGAAGGGAAGAACACCGGCACAGGCTCCCTGTGAAGGAGTGAGCTCCCCAGACTGGGCTGAGGAGCAGAGACCTGAGAGGGAAACTGGGTTCTCCCAGGGGACACATGCTCATCATACAACACGGCTTTGTCAGATGGACGTGCTGACCAGGCTCTCAGAGCCCCAGCCCCCTCGACCCTCCCCAATCCCATCCCACTCCTTCCTACCTCCCGGCTGTGCCCGTAGAGCCAGTGGGAAGGAGGGCACGGGAACTCCTGGAAGGCTTTGAGCAGCCACTGTCTGCGCAGGTAGAGCTGGGCGGCCTTGAGCAGCAGCAGAACCAGGCCGAGCAGGGAGGCCACTTGCAGGAACCCAGAGATACTGCCCAGAGGTCTGGGGGTGCTCAGCCCAGAGACACTCATGGTGCAGAGGCTTCTGGAGCATTGACTTGCCTGACTGTTGCAACCTCCCCTGATCAGCCCAGCCCAAGTCAGTCAGTTGAGAATTGCCCCACCCACCTGTGGTGAGGGCAAAGGGTGAGGGCAGAGCTTAGACTTGGCCACCAGAGTTGATTAACTGTGGAGGATCCACCTTGGGAAACAGTGGGAGAAAAGCTTTCTCAGCTGACCGTGATAATGGCCATGTCGACTTTCCGCTCATCAATTTCCTACTCAAACACTTAATGTGCACCTACTATTTGCCAGTCAGGATGCTAGGTGCTGGGACACAGCTGCAAGCAAAACAGACATGAATCCTGGCATCGAGGAATCCACAGTCCATTTTACAAATGTTCAGTAGGTGAAGTTGGTTTATTTATTATAACCATTTTAGAGATGAAAACTAGTTACAGAGAAGTAAAGTGATGTGGCTGTCAGAAAACACTCAGGCAGAGCCCCAGCTGGGATTAGAACACTTCTCTATTGGACTCACAAGTGGCCTGACTCAGCTGACTGCAGTTTTCCCTGGGGTTTGTCCCACTCCACTCTTCAGTGGTGACACAGGGCGACTGTGCCAGTGGATAAAGCACTGGCGTTGGACTCAGGAGGCTCAGCCCCAGGTTAGGCTCACTACATGCAAGCCAGCAATGTAAATTCTCTGAGACTCAGTTTCTCCTCTTGTAAGGGGGGATAATAATCCCATTCCTAAGTACATCCTAGGAATACTCATTTGTTCAGTCATTCATTCACTCAGCAAATATTTCGTGAGCAAACAGTCTAGGTAAAGGCAGAAATCTAACTTAGAAGAATAAAATATGCAAGGCCTGTACCAGAGGAATGAATAGTATACTGAGTCCACCCAGGGAAGGACAAAACTAAAAACAAGAATGGGGTCTTGAAGGATGTATAGGCCTTCATTAAGCGCAGACTGATAGAGAGAGAGAGAGATGAGCCCTGAAAAAGTCATGGAGATTATATGCAAAAGAGCAAGGGATGGGGACAAGTGAATCTTCAAGTCTCTCACCCGCACATTTTTCATGACTCTCTCCTTCAAGGTCATATCCAAGGCCCATAATTCAGAAGGTAAAACACAATATATTTCAGGAAGAATTCCTTGAAGGTAGCCTTTCAAGGGGCCATTTCTTCCTGACCTGCTTCCTCACCCATCTAACCTCTTACTCCCAACACTCTTCCCCTTTGCTCTACCTGATGACAGGTGACTCATCACACAATCCATGGGGCCAGAGTTCTTTTCTTTCTCCTCTAAATTCTGGGCTCCTGTCCAAACCCCAGGCCATATAACTGCTCATTTCCATTCCTGCCACCCTTCTTCTACTTCTGCGGTTACTTTCCATTCCTTTCTGCTTCCACTCCAGGGACTCTTGGACCCTGGCTCTTTCCCTTAGTTGGCTCAGCACCAGCTTTTCACCCACAGCACATGGGGAAGTAGTAGTTTTGGAGTCAGAGGGTCTGACTTTGAATTCTGGTTGTAACTCTTTCTTTCCCTTGCTGAGTCCTCAGTTTCTTCTCTATAGTTGGGCTCATAATGCTTGTTAATAGCCAACAATCACTGGGCACTTGCTATGTTCTAGGCACTAAGCAAAAGACTTTATATGTTTCTCCCATAACAACCCACATAATAGATTTTTTAAAGAAGCCCCAATTCTAGGTGAGGAAACCGAGGCACAAAGAGGTTCGCAGCTTGCTCAGGGTCACCCTGTTGGTAAGAGGTGGAGCCAGGATTCAAACCGAGGCAGTCTGACTCCAGAGACTTTGCTGTTAACCATTAACGTAAAGAGATGATTATTGGGTTGAGCCTCCAGTCCATACATGGCAGCCTCTGAAATTTCCAGAGGGCATTTCCTGTTTGATTTGTTTTATCCAGTGTTTCCAAGCAGCAGGAGAGTTTCAGGTTATCAGCTCCACCTGTTGGCATAAATGCAAGCCCCACTATCCAGGGCTCTTATGAGAAAGTGTTGGGTAAACCATGTGGCTAAATGTAGCATTTGTTGAAAAGATGTTTATAGAGGATTTTTAATGATGTGAGAGAAGCTTAAAACAAAGTGATCAAAACAGAACGTACAATTGTGTGTAGAGTATGAGCGAACTCTTAGAAAGTTGTGCTGGCCATGGTCAACTGTTATTAACCAGTAAGTATCTTTTCCATTCATTTGCTGTCCACACACACAAACCAAGGACTCCTTGATGGTGGTAACTAGGTCTAATATGTCGTTATGCTCCCACAGCATGGAACACAGGACTGTGCCTACTGACGGTGCCAAGAAATACTGATCTGATGACTGAAGGAAGGAGGGAATGAGGAAGACTTTGGACTGGTTAGATCACCATCTCCAACAGACCAAGGTCAGTTTTAATGCCACATTTTAAAGGAATTTAATAGTCTTAGTGCTGGAAGGTTCTTGGTTCAATTTATAGGCAACAGAAAGGCAGAGGAGGGGGGCAGTCAACCCCCAGACTGGCAGCTTGAAGCAATTACTCCAGTGGGTACATCACCCCAGGCACTTTTCTGGGTTTGGTAAAGTTCAGTTTGGTGCTGATGCAATTTATCACACTTTGTTTACTTTTACTCCTCTACATAGACTGCATCTTCCAGGTAGAAGGCTTTTTTGTTAAAAAAAAAAAAAAAAAACCCAACAGCTTTATTGAGATATAGTTTATATAACATTCAGTTCACCCATTTATCATCAATGGTTTTGGGTATATGCCATTCTTATTTTGTTTCAACTAGTAAAACATACATAACATAAAATTTGCCACTTTATTTTTCAGTATACAATCCAGTGACATTAATTACATTCATTTTGTACAGCCATCACCAATAACTATTTCCAATTTTTTTTTCTTTTTTAAAGATTGGTACCTGAGCTAACAACTGTTGCCAATCTTTTTTTTTTCCTGCTATTTTCCCCCAAATCCCCCCAGTACATAGTTGTATATTTTAGTTGTGCTTCCTTCTAGTTGTGGCATGTGGGATGCCGCCTCAGCATGGCCTAATGAGTGGTGCCATGTCTGTGCCCAGGATCCAAACCGGTGAAACCCTGGGCCACTGACGCAGAGTGCGCGAACTTAACCACTCGGCCACAGGCCGGCCCCCCCTAAGTTTTTGCATCACTGCAAACAGAAACTCTGTAACCATTAAGCATTAATTTCCCATTCGGCCTTCCCACAGTCCCTCGTAATCTCCAATCTACTTTCTGAATTTGCCTATTCTAAGTCCCACATATAAGTGGAATCATATATTATTTTTCCTCTTGTGGCTGGCTTCTTTCACTTAGCACGATGTTTTCAAGATTCATCCATGTGGTAGCATGTACCAGAACTTCATTCCTTTTTGTGACTGAACAATATGCTATTGTATGTACATACATTTTGTGTATCTATTCACCTACTGATGGTCACTTGAGTTCTTTGTACCTTTGTCTATTGTGAGTATGGCGCAATGAACATTGCCCTCCAACTATCTGTTTGAGACCTTGCTTTGAATCCCTCTGGGTATACACCTAGAAGTAGAACTACTGAATCACATGATAATTCTATGTTTAGCTTTTTCAGAAACTGCCAAACTGTTTTCCACAGTGGCTGCACCATTTCACACTCACCGGTAATGCAGCTGAGTCCCATTTTCCTCACATCCATCCAACGTTTGTTATTTTCCATTTGTTTTTTTTAAAAAAAACCATTAAAGCCATCCTAAAGGATGTGAAGTGGTACTTCATTCTGGTTTTAATTTACATTTCCCTAATGACAAATGATGTTGTGCATCTTTTCACGTGCTTTTTTCCATTTGCCTATCTTCTTTGAAGATGTGTCTATTGAGGTCCCTTTCCCATATTTGAATGGGTCATTGATTTTCTGTTGTTCATTTGTAGGAGTTCTTTCTAATTTTGATATGATTTGCGAAAATTTTTTGCCATTTTGTGAGCTTTCAACTCTTTGATTGATTTTGTGTTCTTTTTTGTATAGGACATGAGATAAGGCTCCAACTTCATTCTTATGCACGTGAATATTGAGTTTTCCCAAATTGTTTGTTGAAAAGACTCTTTTCCTCATTAGATTGTCTTGGCACCCTTGTTGAATATCAATTGAGCATACATCTGAGGGCTTATTTCTGGGTCCTCCATTGTTCCCTTTTGTCTGTATGTCTATCATTATTCCATTATCACAGTAGTTTGATTACTGTAGCTTTTGTAGTAAGTTTTGAGATCAGAAAGTATGAGTCCTCCAATTTTGTTCTTTTCCAACTCAGTGTTGGTTCTTTAGAGTCTCTTGAGATTCCATGTAAGTTTGGGGATGGATTTTCTATTTCTGTAAAAAAAAATCATTGGAGCTTTGATAGGGATTGTATTGAATCTGTTGATCACTTTTGGTTGTCTCGTCATCTTAATGATATAAAGAGTTTCAGTCCATTAACATAGGATGTCTTTCCATTTATTTGTGTCTTCTTTAATGTCTTTCAGCAATGTTTCATAGTTTTCAGTGGACAAATCTTTCACTTCTTTAAATTTATTTTTACATATTTTAATTTTTTGATTCTATGTAAATGAATTTTTTAAAATTTTCTTTTCAGATTGTTCATTGCAAGTATATGGAGATAAAACTGATTTTGTGTATTGGTTTTATATCGTGAAATTTTGCTGAATTTGTTTATTAGCTATAAAATTTCTTGCTAATTCTTTAGGGTTTTGTACATGTAAGATTATATCACCTGCAAACACAGATAATTTTACTTCTTCCTTTCCAATTTGGATGCTTTAAATTTCTTTTTCTTGCCTAATTGCTCTGGCTAGAACTTCCAGCACTATATTAAATAGAAATGGTGAAAGCACAGTGTCCTTATTTTTCCCAAGGAAAACAAGCAGAAAAGCTTTCAGTCTTTCATCAATGAGTATGTTGTTAGTTGTGGGTTTTTAATAAAAAGCCTTTAGCATTTTGAGGAAGTTCCCATCTCTTTCTAGTTTATTGAATGTTGTTATCATGAAAGAGTGTTGAGGTTTGTAAAATGCTTTTCAGCACCAATTGAGATGACCCTGTTGTTTTTTCCCTTCATTCTATTTTTGTGGTGTATTACATTGATTGATTTTTGCACCTTGAGCCACACTTGCATTCTGGGAGTATATCCCACTGGGTCAAGAAGTATAATCCTCTTTATATGCTTCTGAATTTGGTTTGCTAGTATTTTGTCCAGGATTTTTGCACCTATATTCATAAGGAATATTGACCTGTAGCTTTCTTTCCTGTGGTGTCTTTGTCTGGTGTTGGCATCAATGTAATGTTGGCTTCATGGAATGAGTCAGGAAGTGTTCCTTATTCTAGAAAGTTTTTTGAAGTGTTTAAGAAGAACTGGTGTTAATTCTTCTTTAAATATTTGATAGAATTGACTAGTGAAGCCATCTGGCGTTGGTTTTTCTTATTTGGGAGGTTTTTGGTTACGTATCCTATCTTATTAATAGTTACAGCTCTGTTCAGATTTTCTATTTCTTCTTAAGTCAGCTTACTAGATTGTGTTTCTAGGAATTTGGCAATTTCATCTAGGTTATCTAATTTTTTAGTATATAAGTATTCATAATATTCTCTTATAATCCTTTTTAGTTCTGTAAAATCAGTAGGAATGTTCTCACTTTCCTTTCTGATTTTGTAACTTCAGTCATCTCTTTTCTGTAAAAATTCATTTAGCTAAATGTTTGTCATCTTGTTGATTTTTTCAGAGCCAATTTTTGGGTTTGTTGCTTTTTCATTTATTATTTAATTTCCTTTTATAAATTAATTAATTGTTTATTTTTTTGTTGCAGTAACATTGAATTATAACATATAGCTTTCAGATGTACATCATAATATATTTCTAATTCTGTGTAAATTACATCATGTCCAACACCCACAAACTAATTATAGTCCATCACCTCACATGTGAGCCTAATCACCCCTTTTGCCCTCCCCCCTCACCCCTTTCCCTATGGTAACCACCAATCCAATCTCCAATGCTATGTGTTTGTTTGTTGTTGTTTTTATCTTCTGCTTATAAGTGAGATCATATGGTATTTGACTTTCTCCCTCTGACTTACTTCACTTAGCATAACACCCTCAAGGTCCATCCATGTTGTCACAAATGGCCAGATTTCATCATTTCTTATGGCTGAGTATTAGTCCATTGTGTATATACCACATCTTCTTTATCCATTTGTCTCTTGATGGGCACCTAGGTTGCTTCCAAGTCTTGGCTATTGTGTATAATGCTGCAATGAACATAGGGGTGCATGTATCTTTATACCTTTGAGTTTTCAAGTTCTTTGGATAAATACCCAGCAGTGGAATAGCTGGATCATATGGTAGATCTATTCTTAATTTTCTGAGGATACTCCATACTGCTTTCCATAGTGGCTGTACCAGTTTACACTCGCACCAGCAGTGTATGAGGGTTCCCTTCTCTCCACATCCTCTCCAATACTTGCTGTTTTCTGTCTTATTAATTATAGTCATTCTGACTGGAGTGAGGTGATACCTCATTGTAGTTTTGATTTGCATTTCCCTGATCTCTAATAATGTTGAACATATTTTCAAATGCCTGTTGGCTATCTGTATATCTTCTTTGGAGAAATCTCTGTTCAGATCTTTTGCCCATTTTTTAATTGGATTGTTGGTTTTTTGTTGTTGAGATGTATGAGTCCTTTGTATATTTTGGATATTAATCTGATATATGGTTTGCAAATATCTTCTCCTAATTGTTAGGTTGTCTTTTTGTTCTGTTGATGGTTTCCTTTGCTGTGCAGAAGCTTCTTAGTTTGATGTAGTCCCGGTTGTTCATTTTTTCTCTTGTTTCCCTTGCCCAGTCACACATAGTTCTTGAAAATATGCTGCTCAGACTGATGTCAAAGAGTGTACTGCCTATGTTTTCTTCTAGAAGTTTCATGGTTTTGGGTCTTACAGTCAAGTCTTTAATTGATTTGAGTTGAGTTTTGTGCATGGTTTAAGGTAATGGTCTACTCTCGTTCTTTCACATGTGGCTGTCCAGTTTTCCCAACACCATTTATTGAAGAGACTCTCCTTTCTCCATCGTATGCTCTTGGCTCCCTTGTCGAATATTAGCTGTCCATAAACGTGTGGGCTTATTTCTGGGCTCTATTATGCTCCATTGATCTATGTGTCTGTTTTTATGCAAGTACCATGCTGTTTTGGTTACTATGGCTTTGTAGTATATTTTGAAATCAGGAATTGTGATACCTCCAGCTTTGTTCTTTTTTTCTCAGGAATCCTTTGGCTATTCGGGGTCTTTTGTTGTTCATATAAATTTTAGGATTCTTTGTTCTACTTCTGTGAAAGATGTTGTTGGAATTTTGATAGGGATTGCG